ATATACAGAGAGGAGAGACAGAGAGGAAGATCTTCCGTACAATGATTCACTCCCCAAGTGAGCGCAACGGTTGATGCTATGCTGGTCCGAAGCCAGGAGACTCTTCCAGGTCTCCCACGCGGGTGCAGGGTCCCAAAGCTTTGGGCCATCCTTGACTGCTTTCCCGGGCCACAGGCAGGGAGCTGGAAGGGAAGCTGGGCTGCCTGGCTAGAACCGGCGCACATATGGGATCCCGGGGGTGCAAAGCGAGGACCTTAACCACTTGCGCCACCGCGCCGGGCCCCCTTCCCTCTTTTTGAACCTACTACATGAGATTGAAGAAGTCCGAATCCTTCCTCATACAATCTAAGCTCATCGGAACAACGGCCAGGAACCCTGAGTGGTCCTCGGAATCAGAAGAACAGTAAACTTCCTTCGGGACTTGGGAGAGGAGCTTTCTCCAATCCTTACTTAGTTCCAGCTCTGGGCCCCCACCCTATGCAATGACCATCAGGGTCGCTCCAGAGCCCACCCACACAAACACACACACACACACACACACACACACACACACACACACACACCTTGGAATAGATAAGCAGAAAACAACAAGGAAAAATTGGTCAGCATGAACTCACACATACCCTACTAAGTAGAACACAAACAACAAGTACTCCTCACCAAGGTATGAGAGATTTCTCTGCATACCCCCCTAAAACTGTTTTGCACATCAATTGTTAAAATGTCATTGAAATAGTCACAGGATGTTTTGAAGAACTTACATGTAATTTTAACATATTGTTACTCAACACTATGTCAATTAATTCCATAACGATATATATTGTTGCTGATGGGGCTTTTAATTGATCACGATTTTGCTCTTTTGGCTCTACTTTCATACCAGAGTAGGTCTCCCCAAGAAGCAGTTGAACTTATCTGGACAATAAGATGCTGGACTCTATGCTTGGTATATGCTTACAGTGAAGGAATCTCAACAGAACTTGAACTGTGGTTACACAACAAAGTGGAGAAATCCACCAAAGAGGGAGGATTGGCGGGGGTGGGCGTGAGTTGGGGGAATCCCAGTACCTATACAACTATGTCTCATAATACAATGTAATCAATAAAATAAATGAATAAATGAATAACTTTAAAAAAGCCAAAACAAAGAAGAAGGAAGTAAGTGGAGAGAGGAAGGAAGAGAAACTTATGTTCTTAGAATTGTATATACAATCAATAAGGGGCAAATATCAAGGATTTACAAAGAGCTTCAGAAGCTCAACAACATTAAAACGAACAATCCTGTGAAGAAATAGGCAATGGAAATGAACAATTTTCAAATGAACAAATTCAAATAGCTAATTGACATATGAAAAAATGTTCCAGTTCCCTAGCTCCCAAGGAAATACAAATGAAAACTACGCTGAGGTTCCACCTAACACCAATGAGACTGACCTACATTCAGAACTCTATAAATTACATTGAGTCTGTTAAAAACTTATAAAATAACTTTCAAAATACATTTTAACAAACACGTTAACATTTACTAAAAAAAAAAAAAAAAATTGCCTCAGTCTGCTGCCCTCCCATCATTCTAGCATAATGCTTCAACAAAGTCACAGCAGGTAGATACAGACTAGACCACCACTAACTCCTTCTACTAACAACAGCCAGCTGAAATTGTGATGTTGGTTATACCACCTATCAGCAAGACTGAGGATAAAAGTATTCCTGTCTTTCTTAACTGTCTACTATTTCTCACGATAACTTCCAGATGCGTGTGTTTACTAGGGGATTCCAATTGAGTTCTTAATACAGAAATCCTGTTCAGACACTGTAATCTAGAATTCTAACTCTCAAACAGGTATTACCCAGCTCACTCAAGACCAAAATTCCATTATGGAGAAGCAACCTAAATTAATTGGTTAGTTATTAATCAGAAATTGCAGTGAATGGCAGAAAGAATAGAAGACACTTGGCTTCATTCAGCATGACAAAATGCTAAAACTTCTATTGGGATGATTCTTACACATTTGTGTGTATATTCTAAAAAGCACTGAGTTATACATACTTAATTGGTTATATCAATATATGTAAATGCTCAGGTTTTCACCCTCTAAAATACGTTAAACCTCAGTAACAAATAAGGATCAGGAGCCTAGCATGATGGCTCAATGAATAACTCCTCACCTTGTATGCCTCAGAATCCTTTTTGAGTGCCAGTTCCAACCTGGCTACTCCACTTCCCATCCAGCCCCCTACTTGTTTCCTGGGAAGCCAGCAGAGGATGGCCCATACCCTTGGGGCTCTGCAGCAGTATGGAAGAAGCCCAGAAGAAGCTCCTGGCTCCTGGCTTCAGATTGGCTCAGCTCTGACTATAATAGTCACTTGGCAGTGAACCAGCAGATGGAAGATCTTTTTCTCTGTATCTCCTTCTCTCTGTAAATCTGCCTTCCCAATAAAAATGAATGAATGAATGAATGAATGAATGAATCTTCAAAAAAAGAAATGTGGTTAGTTGTGTAGCTTCTTTATCTCTGATTCTGCATCAGAAAGACTACAGATGAAAGATACCTCTCTTGTCAGAGAATCAAGTCTGAGGGCAGAATCTGAGGGAGGAGGGCATGTGGGCACACTCATGTGGAAATGGCAATCTTCTCTGACATGCATAAGCTCTGTGGTTGGGAATAAGACTGGTTGGACAGCTAAGGGGATGCCCCAGCTGGGTTGGGGTTTTCACTGGTGAGCACAAGGGTTAGAATGAGAGCATTGGTCTGGGCTGGACGTGGCTGCAGTCTCCCTCAGCGTGAGTGTGGACTGGGTCTGGGGAGTGGCACACTGCCTCGGATTCCAGCACCCACTGCTATACATGAGAGACAGTGTGGATGTATAAGAGCTGGGCTAGGTCTCAGTTCCTGTTTAACCACATGAGAGCTGTGGCTAGGAGTGGACCAAGTATGGCTGGGCTGTAACTCCCAAGAGCAACAGCCAAAATGGGTGTGGGTTAGCCATGAAATAACACCTGCCAGGACAAGAGGTAGACAAAGTCAACCCAGGCCAAGTACCCACCAGTCTGCACCAGATCTATTGCTGGAAGGATATCTGAGAGAGAAGCTTGGAGAACTCCTTTGTTAGGACACAGTCCCTGCAGGTGAATGCAAAAACCCAAGCCGTCCAGATAAGGCCAAGTTACTATACCCACCAGCACACATATGAGTCAGATCTGGGGCTGGGCCAGGCTGGGCCAGTTCATAACATCCACTGACAGATTTGAGAACCAGGACAGGGTGCAGGAGAGGCCAGGTTGGGCCACAACTTCAGCCAGTCCAGAATAGGGCCAGGACTGGGTGCTGGCTGGGCCAAGCTAAACTATGTTAAACAACAGCAGGAGCTGGAACTTGGAATAAGTCGTACTGAGCCAGGCTGCAACACCCACTGGTGAATGCCAAAGTGAGGCAAGCCATGCCAATCTGGGTGCAGTGAATGCCAGGTCCATGAGCCCTGGGATCAGAAGGTCAGTCAGGTCCCAGGTTGCCTGACCCAGGTCCTTGGGCCTCTCTGCACATTGGGTTTTGAGTCTGTGAACCCCATGGGCAGGGGCTCTAGCAGGGCCTAGGACTCCTGGCCAGGCTTCTTGGGCCTTCCTGTGAGGTGGGTGCTGGATCCGTGAGCCCTGCAGTCATGGGTCCATAAGGGGCCTGGGTCACTTGGCCCAGGTACTTGTGCCCACCTGCATGGTGGGTGCTGGATCTGTGAGCCCCAGGGTACAGGTCTGGCAGGGCCTGCATCATTGGGTCCACCAGGTCCTTGGGTCCACTTGTAAGAAGTGGTCCTCTTCAGTAGAAAAGATGGAGCAGTGGATGGCAGGCCGTAATGTACAAGAAGGATACGGCAGCCCATTGGGCAGAGGACATCTGTTACCATGCAGCGGGAGAAGAACTGACCAAATCGGACAACCACCTCAGCCAAATGATGACAGCCAAAAAAAAATGGGTAAACAGAGACTACAAGGTCAACCAAGTGAGCCAATGAGCATTGGAAGGATTTCCTCATCCTTGCATCAGCAAGCTTGAGAACATTTCAGAAAACCACCTAGGCAGGACCCTTGGAGCATGTGCCACATGGGAACCCTGGGTTGATACTGGATGGCTATTCCCTATCCCCATTACTGGAGCGAATGGGAGGCTGGGAATGACATCTCTCCTATCTTCCCTTCACCCAGAAAGAGGAAGCAGAAATAGAAAATTTTGAAACAATTATCACACACACACACTTTCCCTAACCCAAGATCATTCCCACCCTGATCAACTATTAAACATCATCCAAAAAAACTTTTTAAAGCTCACTAAAAATCACCTCTCATATTGCAATTGGCACTATTCTAAAATCTCTCACAGAATGTACTTCCGCACACATGTGCTTATGTGGTTCTGAGCTGGGTGAAAGCACTTAATCATAAAGAAAATCCAGAGGTCTGCATTGGGACATAGCAAACTAAAGTGCCGACTGCATTGAATTCCAGCTACCCCTTTTGTAGTCCAGATCGCTGCCAATGCTCCTAGGAAAATAGTGCCAGTAACTGGGGGCTGTGCTACTCACACAAAACAGGGATGAGTTTCAGGTTGAGCTTGCTTCAGTTTGATCTATATCTATCTAGCCAACTAACTAGCTATACTACACACACATGTATTAATACACACAAATGCACATATATACACATATGTTTTTAGATTGTATATCTATAGATATAGATATGAACATAAATATAGATATATGGTATAGATATCACTTTCAAACAAATATTTTGAAAAAGATGGACTCTACAAAAACAATTATTACCTAGCATATAACTTGACTTTATGCTCTTGTCATTCAAATTGACAATTCTGATGGTTCATTTGATTTATTTACTTTGATCAATAAAAATTATACTTTAACCACTTGATACATTTGTACATGGAAATCAGCATGAGCAGCTACAGAACAGAACAGCAATCGGAGAGGAAGCCTCGCGTGTCACCAAGATGCTTGTGAAGTGTCTTTCTCTGCTGCTGCTGCTGCAGCTGAGCTGCTACTTCAGCTCTGGGAGTTGTGGAAAGGTGCTGGTGTGGCCGATGGAATTCAGCCATTGGCTCAATCTAAAGATCATGCTCAAAGAACTTGTCCAGCGAGGTCATGAAGTAACTGTTTTGAGATCTTCAGCTTCTATTGTAATCAATGCCAAGAATGAATCTGGAATTAAATTTGAAACTTTTCCTACATCTTACACTAAAGACGAATTGGAAACCCTTTTCGGGTATTGGATCAATAGATGGATATATAATGTGTCATTAAATATATATTGGGAGAATTTTCCAGCGATGCAAGGATTCATTTTAAGCTTTTCTGATGTTTATGAAAGATTCTGCAAAGAAGTAGTTTTGAACAAGACACTCATGACTAAACTGCAGGAATCAAGGTTTGATGTTGTTCTTGCTGACGCCTTCGCTCCCTGTGGTGAACTGCTGGCTGAGCTACTTAAAACCCCCCTTGTGTACAGTCTCCGTGGTTTCCCTGGCTACATACTGCAAAAGCACGGTGGAGGGCTTCTATTTCCTCCTTCCTATGTACCTGTTATGATGTCTGGTTTAGGTGGCAAAATGACATTCATGGAGAGGGTAACTAATATGTTATGTGTGCTTTATTTTGACTTCTGGTTTCCAAAGCTTAATGAGAAGCGGTGGAATCAGTTTTATACCGAAGCACTAGGTAAGTCATCTTTTTAAATTGGCCCAAACTTTCTTGTGATTTTGTTATGAGATGGTATAAATATATAATCAGAGGAATTTGTCTTTCTGCATAAGATAATGAAATGAAAATAAAAAGTATCTGCCACTCCCACAAATGTGATGCAGGGGCTTACTTACAAGATCATCTGTCGTCACTGTTCATCCTTGGCTTAAACATACCAAAGTGACATACAACCACAAACAGGACCACTGAGGATTTCTCTAATCAATTCCATGCCCATCTTACTATTTTTTTTTCTTGCAGTAAAGTGTAGGCAGATCCCTTTAAAATATGTTGGTGGGGCCCGGCGCGGTGGCGCAAGTGGTTAAAGGTCCTCGCCTTGCACGCCCGGGATCCCATATGGGTGCCGGTTCTATCCCGGCAGCCCCGCTTCCCTTCCAGCTCCCTGCCTGTAGCCCGGGAGGGCAGTTGAGGACGGCCCAAAGCTTTGGGACCGTGCACCCGTGTGGGAGACCTGGAAGAGGCTCCTGGCTTCGGATCGGCATAGTATTGGCCCGTTGCGCTCACTTGGGGAGTGAATCATCGGACGGAAGATCTTCCTCTCTGTCTCTCCTCTCTGTATATCCGCCTTTCCAATGAAAAAATAATAAAAATAAATCTTTAAAAAAAAATATGTTGGTGAATAAAGACCTCTACATTTATCTGTTACACAGGATTCTAGCACAACTACTGATGAGCTAATAGGGAAATTATCCCCATAAAGTGATGTTTCCTCATTTAAATGAAAACACATTTCTTTTGACCCAATGATTCCTTCTCAGGTCTGAGATGCATAGTTTTATAGAATGTATATTCAACTGCAGACTCATGGTTTATGCCACAATCATTTCATTTGAGGTTTCTAATGCTTTGACATTCCTTTATCAAGTCTTTAAAAAACATCAGATTTGGCAGTAAAAATGTGTTGAAATGTTGATATGCTTGCAATCAATCTCATTTCATTTGAGTATGTTTCTCAATTTTATACAAAAATAAGCTAAATGGAAACATACATTTTCATAAATAGCAGACAATATTTGCAAAGCTATAAATTTCAAGTAATATTTATAAATATTTTCACATATTTATGTCAAATATCTAAGGTGAATCAAAAGCATCCAAAAGCAACACTCAAAAAACACTTCAAGTTCACATGGTAACTCAAAGATTAATCAGCAGGCTAACTTACAGAAACTGAACTAGGAACTGCTATAATGCATCTCTCTATGGTCATGATGTTATGCTTGACTTCAGTGCTAAAATAATTGTTTACGTTTGCCCCTCCTGCTTTGGCAATTTAGAGGAAAATGCATGTTTCACTTTACAGTGCTCTGTCCTCATGATGATTTCTGACTGTGAGCATGTTGAGGTGACACTGGATAGATACTCTGCCTGACATTGCAATATACAGGTAACATGAGAGCAATGCATGGACGTACATGTGAAAGATGCAGCTCCTAAATTAGCATGCTTCTTTAAACACCACAAAGACACTGCACATCACTGACTGAATCATTTCAATAACTTTCAGGAAATTACATGGGATGCTTTGCATGACAATTCTCACATTGCTCTCCCAATTTTGTGTTTTTCTTTCTATTCAGGAAGACCTGCTACATTCTTCGAGATCATGGGGAAAGCTGACATGTGGCTCATTCGAAGCTATTGGGATTTTGAGTTTCCTCGTCCACTCTTACCAAACTTTGAATTTATCGGAGGATTCCACTGCAAACCTGCCAAACCTCTTCCTCAAGTAAATGTGTTCTGGTTTACTATATTTTATACTTTTGTATTCTTAGTAGAAATCACTCAGCATTCTTCATTTAGAATATTTGACTTTAAAGTGGAAATACTAGAAATAAGATGAAACGTAGTTTCAAATAGAAATTCATTGACTAGACTTTTAACAGTTCATGAAAAATTTTAATTAAAAGATGTGTTTTATCAAAGAACTTAACATAGCTCATAAGATCATTGATGAGTTCACAGAACAGAATTGAGGAGATAAAAATAATGATAATATCTGTTGTTATTAAACAATATGTCCCACTGTCCTAAACATAGTAAACCTATCATAATGTACACTGTACAATGAATATGCTACCCTTGATAATCTAGAAATAAACATTTTAGGGTTTCACTCTTGATAAAGGAACTGGATGAGTAATTAGAGCATTTGGAAATATTTTAAATTCATTAAGAATATGTAATATACTTTATTGGAAAAGTTATTGTATAATCATTCAACTGGACTAAATATTACACACATGTTTGATGGATAATATAAAAAGCATTCATAGATATAGTGTTTCTTAAGATTATGATGTCATTATATCTCAAGAAATGCACTTCATTTCTAACTAGGAATGTTGAAAATCAGCTGTCCCTAAAGCAGACCATGTGAATGAGGTTCACTACATGGCAATGGATCATGCACTGCCCTAAGAACTGACAAACTCTATTATATTGCTAAATGTAGCTATTTGTTAACAAGTAGTGGTACAAGTTATAACTATGTAATTCTTATACTAAATATTAGAGTAAGAAATGGCATTGGTGGTTATTCATTCAAATCATTGAGCTGTGGCTTGTACATGCATGCTTATTCATAATTTTTTGGACAAAGAAAAGCAAAATCTCTAAACCTGTTGATGTTCAAAAGTATTAACTGCTTAGCAAATCTAAAACAATTCAATTATCAGGAAGAATGAAATGTAATTGCCTCAGATCAGTTACTAAGACTGCAAATCGTGGAAATCATTTCTTTTGTTATTGTGTAATATTTGGAAACACTTCCCAGTTGCTCAAAAGATTACTTATATACATGCAAGTTACAATATTGTCTCACTAAAAATCTGTACATATATGCTTGGTGACAATGAAAGTTACAAACTTTCAATTATAATTTCTAACATTTTAATGCATCTTTGAAAACATGCTCAATTTCTGCAAAATTGAATACTTACGACTTTATAAATTTACCTGTATAAAAAGGTTTGAATCCAAGTCAAGGACTGTGAGATTTTTCTTCCTATACTGTCTCTTTCTTCCAGTAATTTACTCCTTCATTAATAATCATAAGCTCAGATGATTTGTGTCCTTCTGTAAAAAGAAGGGAAAAGTTTGACTGACCACATTGAATCAGTTGATAACAGTTATATTCTTTGTTTATGTGAGGTATTCACATAAAGCTTTTCAGTAAAAAGTAATTAATTGTTGCAAATCAATATTTGTCACATTTTTCTAAAATAACCATTCCAAATAACCAAAACCAAACATTAAGAATGATCAAATAATTTACTTAAATTTACCTATATGTCCACAAATGCCTGTTTACATTATATCATTATAATTATTTTACCAAACAACTTATAATAACACTGACACATAGGAGGTTTGTTCAGCAACAGAAGGAAAAGGACATAAATGAGATAACATCACAATTTTCTGTAAAAAGGCAAAGTGATGTACATTAGGATTACAATTCTCTATGTCTTATACAGTGTTCATGGAGCATGAAGTTTCAGTTTAGGTGGGAAAGTATTTTTGACAGACTGGCAGCACAACGATATGAGTGTTGTTGCTACTATTCTGCATACACTTGGGCAGATGGAATAGTTTGTCTCATGCACTTTAGAACTGCCACTGTTGGTCCCTAAAGACACTTAAATTTCTTTCCTAGCTGTTTGCATCAATGTTTTCAATAGTATTTTCTGTACTGTCGCTCTGTGATAGACCTCGTTTTCTCTTCCCAGGACATGGAAGACTTTGTGCAGAGCTCTGGAGAAGAGGGAGTTGTGGTGTTTTCCCTGGGCTCAATGATCAGTAACATGTCAGAAGAGAGGGCCAATGTGATCGCATCAGCGCTTGCCCAGCTTCCACAAAAGGTGAGAAAACATACCCTAGTGTTGGGCAACTACTGAATGAGTCAGCTAGAACTAAAATGTGTCATTACACAATATTCCTGAGTGAAAGGTACATGTTTATAATAGCTCTCATTTATCCCAGGTACAAGTTTAAAAATCAAAAGTCTATTAGACAGATTTAAGCACAGGAGATGTTTATATTTCAAATAATTTTGTCATTTGATTATGGTAGAAGTGTATATCACACAAGTCTTCTGAAACTTTGGTATCATCGTGGTATTTTTGACAGGTAAACAAAATCACCAAATTCTACTGCACCATTTGCTTCTTTGCAGGATTGTTGAAGCCTGCGTCAGCTAAAGATGTTACTATAAAGGTGTTACAATCCCTTTAGCAACTGCACTAGCCCAGAAACATTAAGGGGGTACTGAAAAAAGTCTTAAAGCGTCATGCACCTTAGGTCCCCCATGTCATCCCTACTCTGATTTATGGGCAGTACTCTCAAAGTATTGCCTGGTCAGGGAACAGGTGGCCAGAGTTCATTAAACCACAGTCCAGCAAACTGTGCAGCCAAGAAGATTTAGAGAAACAGAAAAACCATCCTGTCCTTCGGCGCTAGATCACAGCACTGTTTTAGGAAGAAAAGATAGAGGAAACTTGAGGGAATAGTCAAGTGCCCAGATCAGATGATTCACATTAAATAATGCATCTACCTAGTCAAGGACATGGTCTTGCTAAATATCTGTAAGTAGCAATATTAATGGAAAATGTTTTCAGAACATCGTAGAAAAAGTTATAGTCACTTGAGTTAAACTTAACATTATCGCAATGGTGGATTATTTCAATCATCATCTTATTAAGAAGTGACTATTATTTCTCAAATTTAAAAAATCTCCAATCCCTATCAATGGATTCTTCTCAAAAAATACATCTTGGATGTTTTCATAGAAAAGGTCAAATATACTTCCTAAGCAAAACTAATTTTCCACCCTTAGCTGTTGCATGGATTTGCTTTTTAAGTTAACTTAATGTCAAGCTCCAATAGAACAGATCAGTATATAGAAGTAAAAAGATCAGTGTATATAAGTAAATCCAGTTTTCATTTTTAAATAAAAATGGCTTTTATTGAATTTGGAAGAGTAGGATCACAAGGGAAACCCAGCACACACACAGAAACATCCTCATGGAACTTAGAACACTAACAATGCGTTTCTTTCTTTGAAATTTTGGCACTATCATCATTGTTACCTAATAATTTCTTAAATACATGAATTTGTCACATGATTATATTCCATGTCTGATCAAATGTAATAAGAGCACATTCAATGTAATGGCTTTTGTCCTTTAATTCTCATTTCCTCTCTTATCTGATGTCATTCATATGCAAAGTATTTTAAGAGGGATCACTCAGCCTCTGCAGAAGTTTCATGTGATATAATCAAAAATCGAACTCTGGGAATTTGTATTTTCTTTACCCAACAGGTTCTTTGGAGATTTGAAGGCAAGAAACCAGACACCTTAGGACCCAACACTCGCCTCTATAAGTGGATCCCCCAGAACGACGTACTTGGTAAGACACTGGAGAACAAACACTGAAAACATGAGTGACAGCCAATCAGCATGAGAGCAGTATCTGACAATTCATTAGTAGAACATTTCAAAGTGAAAACAATGTCTTCACATCCCTTTTCCAGTGCTAGGGAAAACCAAAGAATTACAACAGTTGGAATTTTATTATCACAAAATTTGTAGACCCAGAATCAAATTCCCTTATTTTCAGTGTGCTTACCTCTCAGAGAGAATGTCTTGCTATTCCCAGAGGAATGGCACTTAGCAGAATTGTTAAAATGCTGGTTGAGACACATGCATCCTATACTATAGCTCCTCTTTAATCAGTATCAACTACATAGTAGATCCAGACTGAGACCCTAGCTTCTGGTTTTGGATTGTCCCCACCTTAGCTGTGGAGTGCATTCCAACAGTGAATCAGTAGTGAGATTTCCTTCTCTCTCTCTTTTTTAACTCATCTCTACTCCTTCTGTGTATGTGTCTATTTGTCTTTTTGTTTTTCTCCTTTCTTTGTGTTCTTTGCATGTTTTGAATGAGTTAATAATTAAGGACCAATAACAATATCCTGCATTGCTTCATTGATCCAAATTTAATCACTGCAGTTGTCATCTGCATTTTCTCCTAATATACAGATTTCCAAATGCCACACAAACAACATCCCTCTGTTATTGTTCGTGATGTTTGTACTTCCTACAGGAAAAAATATCAACAACCTTATTCATGTAGAGATAAGGAAAACCAAGATGGAGTTTAGGTTCTCTTTCTTTGGATTCCATTGATAAAAGCATCCCGCACCATATTGCTTTGTGTGCCCTAAATATCATTCTCATTGAACTGAGCAATAACATCCAGAGACAATGTTGTAACCAGTGTTTGACCCACTTTTAGCATACATGGCTTATTTTGTTCTAACTGTACTCCTTTTTCATTCCTTCCTGACAAAATTGAATATGCTCCAAGACTCAATTCACACATTTCTTCCTGTGCCATGTACTTACTCCCACTGAGAAAATAACCACCTCTTCCTCTTGATATAAAAGCAATTGAAATGCAGTGTCAGTCCTATTAACAATATGCTGCTTAGAGAACATTGCTCTTCTGGTGTCTCATATTACCATTTCTCACTCTATTTATGTAATTAATGATGTTACTCAAAACCATTCAATTCTAGGTCATCCAAAAACCAAGGCGTTTGTAACTCATGGTGGAGCCAACGGTGTCTTTGAAGCAATCTATCACGGAGTCCCTATGGTGGGCCTTCCTTTATTTGCAGATCAACCTGATAATATTATCTACATGAAAGCCAAAGGAGCAGCTGTCAAATTGGACTGGAAAACAATTTCAAGTGCAGAGTTGCTCAGTGCCTTGAAAACAGTCATTAATGATCCTTCGTGAGTAAAATCACTTCTTTCAAACTATGAAGTGTTTTCAGATAACTTTTCACTCTGGCCAAAGGAGTAAAACTGATTCTGACAATGAACAGCATGTTTAGATCACTTTGGTTTAGTAGTAATCAAGAATACATTGTGAGTATCCCAATATTTTGAGGAATATATATGGCTATTATATATATATAAGAGAGAGAGAGAAATTGGTAGAGAAAAAAGAGAAGGTTTTTCATGAACAAACAAAAACTAGTAGCAAAGTTATAGAAGGGACACATAAGTTTCAAGAAGCGGCAGAATTCAAAGAAAGGAAATTCGCTGTCATATCTCCTTGGTTTTAATCATTAATCCATTGAGTAATGACTAAAGTTTAAGTTCACTACCAATTTCTGATTGCTAGCACTCCTTACCAACTTTGTCCACACATTGACTTTCGCCTTAGCATGGACATGCCTCCTATCCCTAAATGTGGCACTCTTTTGAACCTTGCTTGTCACTTCCATTCACAGGTGCTTTAGAATAATTCGAGTGCCACATATGAAGAGACTTTTGGGGTCTTTATTGTAGTTAGTTGGTTAGTTAGTTAGTTAGTCAGTCAGATTCCATGTGGATTTTTCTCCCTTCTCTTGGAATTAACAGATTTTAGTTTCGAAGCTATTATAAGGATGTTTAGTTTCTAAGATGTTATAAGGAACTATTTTCTCCCAACTTCCTTCTTCAATCCTAAAATCCCATGCATCTGAAATGCCTAGCCTATAATCTAAGACTCTTTCCTAGCCACATGAAAAATATTAATCTAGGTTTCCTTTTTCCATCTATAAGTTATGCCTATTGATTTCCCTTCAGCTACAAAGAGAATGTCATGAAGTTATCAAGAATTCACCACGATCAGCCCATGAAGCCCCTGGACCGAGCTGTCTTCTGGATTGAGTATGTCATGCGCCACAAAGGAGCCAAGCACCTGCGGGTTGCAGCCTATGACCTCACCTGGTACCAGTACCACTCTCTGGATGTGATTGGGTTCCTGCTGGCCTGTGTGACAATCATTATTTACCTTGTCATAAAAAGTGTTTTGTTGCTTTGTCAAAAGCTTGTTAAGATGGGAAAGAAGAAGAAGAGGGATTAAGGAACATAAAGAAGCTAAAGCTGCTGATTCTGAGAGAGAAAAGACAGTGTAAGGGCAGTGTTCCTGTTAAAAGATATATTTAAAACTGCCAGATGCAAGTGAATTATAAAAAATGATGATTAAAGCTTGAAGTACATTTTTTACCTCTTCAATGTTACAAATTTATTTTTTAGTAATACTTGATAGCATAAATGTAGTAAACACTTCCACTAAAGTAAAAAGATAATAGCCTTTTTATTTCATTAGATATTTAACATATAATTCAACAATATAAAGAGCTACTTGCAAAAAGGAAAAAATGAACATACTAAATGTCTTTAATTTCATCTATGTATTTTTAATAAAAAAGAAAAAATGTACATATATCCATTATTCTGAGTAACAGTGTTCCATGCACTATCAAAGCCAACTCAAGTCTATTTATGTGTTTTTCCCCCTCTAATTTTCTCTAAGCGTTACACTTTCTATTTTTAAGGGATTTTTAAATATATTAGGTTGTAAGGGATATTTCTGTTTACAAAACAAGTAACTCGTGCAAATTTATTAATGATTTTGTCAAAATAAATCTTAAATGCAATTTTATAGACCAAGAAACAAACCTATATCTACTCATTGATGGTTAAAGAATTTTTTTGTCTTAATCTTATCACATTAAGCAAAATGTTTACACATTTGAACCATGTACACATCATAATAAACTTACTAGCTATTTAATCCTATTTTACATTAAATTCCAAAAATTATGCAATAGTTCGGATGTTTGCTTATTCAAGATTGATCCATTCAGCTTTTTACAAAAAAAAAAAAAGATGTATTTATTTGAAGTAGTGACAGAAAATGAGAGCAATGTGGAAAGAGAAAAAATATTTGATTGATCAATCTGCAAATGTCACAACAACTTCATCTTGTCCAGTCCAAAGCCAGGAACCAAGAAAATCTGCACGGTCTCCCACATGGCAGGGGTCAAGTTACTTTTGTCATTTGGTTGATCATCTTTCCCAGGTACATTAGGAGGAGCTGCACTGGAAATGAATCAGCTGAAATTCAAACTGGTACTCATATGGGAGTCCAGCATCACAAGTGGTAGTTGACCTACTGTGTCATAATGTCAGGGCCTGCTAAGGTTTTCAATTATTTTGGCTGTCCAATCAATTTAAATACACTCTATGTGATCAAAGTAGAATCATAGACTTAATACGTTACATTATTTATCTTTACATATTTATATATAAATATTTCAAAGAAAAGATATCTCCTAAAAGAAAACATGTATATAGAAGTGTGGGGATAAATACAGAGTGGAATATTGTTTTTTTATAATTGCATTAGGGTGATCTAAAGAGCAAAATAGGGTAAGGACACATTTAAGCAGATGGAAAATCATTAGGCAGGGTGAAAAAGAGAGGGCACATTCCAGGAAACAGGTGAGGACAAGCTGACAGCAGAAGGACACCTAGACACTAATGGACACAGAAAGCACTTGGGACAATGGTGTGGTGTTGCAGTGACAAGATAACCCAGCAATATTCAGCAAGCAGCAAACTGAACTCCACCAATGGTCAGAGCTCCAACAACAACCAAGTGGGAAGGAGAGGTCATCGGGAGCTCATCAGGAGAACTTGGACACAGAACTGCCCGTCCAGCTGATTTTTTTGATTCAACCAGTAGCAGAGACAAGCAGTAAACCCCAAACAGGCAATGCAGGAACAGGGTGGGTCTCATCCCAGACCCTATCACCAGAGCCACATTGGGCGCCATTTTGTGTGGGGAGGCAAAGGTTGTGGATAGGATTACATATGTACTGAGCTTGGAGGGAACACATTTCTGGCTCAATGAATTTCACCAACATAGCAAACTATAGGTTCCACCAAAAGCAGATCTGAGTAGAAGCAAGCTCCATCAGTCAGCAGATCCAGATCTCCACCAGTGGCACATCAGGCACCATTTTGTATAGTGTGCAAAGGCTATGCCCTTGTGTTTCTGCTGGGAGCAAACTCACAAGATTAGTGCGCCACACTGGTCCCATAACAAAACATAATACTGCGTTTGACACCCTGTTGGTCAAGACAGGTCTTTGTGGTCCTAACACCCAACGACCAGCAGGTTCCAGCAAGATCAACACCATGAAACCTTCATTTTTAGGACACCTGGTGTCTCCCTAATATTGGGAACTGCTCAAACCACAAGTAGGAGAAACGTTGTACAGACAACCGTTCAGCCACAGCACAGAATCATAGGAGGTAGAGTGGTGAGTCAGGACACGTGGCTTCAGAGACCATGGTTAAATTTTAAACTAAGTTCCTGGATCTGAAACTCGCTAGAGGGAGTGGCACAAGTGACTGCAAACAAAGAACTGTGTAACAACTGCAATAAGTAGCATTGCAAGCATGTACCCTACCTAGAGTCCAGTCTTATTGTCCAGATAAATTTGGCAGTTTCTTGGGGAGACAATCTCTGGTCTGAAAGCAGAGCTGGCAGAATATCATCTTGTCCAGTGAAAAGCCACAACAAAATGTCCACAGCAATTTACAACACTATGGAATTAATTGGCATGGTATTGAGTGACAAGTATGATAGAAAATGCAAGTTCTTATCCACATCCTGTAACTACTTCATTGACATTTCAATTTTAGTTTATACACAACTAGCTGCCATATACCTGAAAAAATACACCTGTTATATACCTCTAGCGTACTATTCAGCTGTCTCGTGTCTATTTTCATTTTTATATTTAGCAGTTTATAGGGTTGAAGCATTATATTTACTGAACTTGGCACATTTTATGCTAGTCCAAACTGGCTTATAACTCTAACAAGGCATATGGTAACAGATGAGGCACAGAACAATTTCACGGGGGTGGGGGGTGGCAAAGAAATCTTCAATACTTTAGTGAGGAGTAACTAATCTTTGTGTCCTACCAAGTAAGGTATAGTAAGGTATATATGAGTCCAAGCTGACAGTTTCCTGTCTGGTTCAAAGCTTTCCTTATTGGTCTCTGTCCATCTAATCTAATTGGGGGGTGGAGCTGGGCTTCGGAGCGACCCTAATGGCCATTGCAAGAAATGGTGGGGATCCAAAGTTGGAACTAAGTAAGGACCAGAGAAAGCACCCCTGCCAAGTCCCGAAGGAAGTTTACTATTCTTCTGTTTCAGAGTTCTGCTCAGAACCCCGGCTGTTGTTCTGATGACATTAGATCCTGTGTGGAAGGATCTGGACTTCTTCCATCCCATGTGGGAGATCCAAAAGGAAGTGGATGACCTCAGAATCCTTGTAGACCCAAAATCAAAGTTTCCTTTGTTTATGTGTTTTTACCTGTCAGAAAAAAAATTCCACCTAGCCTCATATGGGAAGGGCATATAGCAAAAAGGGTAAGTTGCTACATGGACACATGCATCCTGAACTGGAGTTCCTGGACTTAAGTTACAGCTCCACCTCTAATACCTGCTTCCTGATAACTCACACTACAGGAATAGGCAAATTTTCCACTGCTGGGAAAAAAAGCAGCTAACAATTGGTGCGCTTTCAGGGCCTGTCCAATGCCAAATTTGTGTTAATTATACCAGTTAATTAGCACAGTTTCTATTCTTTTTTTAAAGATACGTTGGGGGCAAATGCTAGCATGCTGGCTAGCATACCATACCACTGGAAGACTGTTCTGGGGACCTCAGAGAAACAAACATGGGCCAGTGTATTGTTCAGGAAAGGGGGTATGGAAATGTGTGGGAGAGAAGATTACTGAGGGAGGAGGTTTCAGGTGAGGAATGACTTTTGGGGGACTTACACCAGCATCTACTGCACTTGCTGGTAAGTAACAGGGGTGAGATCGAGTGGTTTCAAGGAGGGAAACAAGGATCTTTCTGGGTCAGATAAATGCACCTGCACATGTGGGAGACGTGAACTGGGCCAATTAGCATTGACCACCGCCCACCAGTCACACAAAAGTTAGGACTCAGATCATGCCCAGCAGGGCTAGATCACAATACCTGCCAATTGGTGTCAGCACACAGAATGGGTCAAGTAAGACTGGGCCATGACACCAACCATTACATGAGAGAACCTGGCCAAGGGGCAGATTTTGTGGGGGATTTCTGGGCTCACCCTATGGAACTGCCAAAGCAGCTGGTTTGCTCGAGGACTGGTGGTAATGATGGGTCAAGTTAGACATGAACATGTAACTTACTTGCATGGGAACTGTGACTGGGAACAGACCAAGCCAGTCAAGGTTACAGAACTCACAGTAAAATCCACACAATAATTGTGTGTAGGGTGGGCTCAGCTGCAACACTGACCAGGACATACAAAGACCAAGACTAGCAGGTAGAATACAGCATATGGGCCTAACACCCACTGGCATGTGGGAGCCTGGTGCAGGAACTTGGGGAACTCCCTTAGTGGACCATAGCTCCTCCTGTTGATTACGAGAGTCACGGCTAGATATGGGTCAGATCAGCCAGGCTGCTTCATTTGTCAGCAGATGTGTGGACAGGCTTGGATGGTGGATTGGGTAAGGCCAGACAAACGAGAGCACATTGACATGTTCAGGAACCAGGGCAGGATGTGGGTCATGCAAGAACAGGATACCACATCTACTGGTTTGCATGATTCTTGGAATGAAGGCAGGATGGGCTGGGCTAGGCTGTGGCACTCACCAGCAAGAGAAGGGACAGACCGGTCTGCATCATCCAATGGCAAGAGACAAGAGAACGGGTAGACTATGCCAGGCTGGACCAGAACAACCACCAGCATGAACAGATATATTGCTGGGAGCAGGTCTGGTAGGGGAACAAACAGGACCCCCTGCTGGACTGCAGTTACCATTGGTGAGTGCAAGAGTAGGAATGGGGGCTAACACAGTAACCTAAATTGTAAAGTCCTTGCCTTGTGAGAGCCAGGGTCCCATATGGGCACTGATTTGTATCCTAGTTGCTCCACTTTCTATCCAGTTGCCTGCTTGGTGCAAGGGAAAGCCGTGGATCATGGCCCAAAAACTTGGGACCCAGTACCCACATGGGAGACCTAGAGGAAGCTCCTGGCTCCTGGCTTCGGATCAGTTCAGCTCCAGTCCTTGAGGCCATTTGGGGAGTGAAACAGTGGATGGAAATCTTCCTCTTTGTATCTTCTTCTCTCTGCATATCTGACTTTCTGATAAAAAGAAATAAATCTTTGCAAAAGAGAGAGAGTAGGAATAAGGTATATTGGTCTGGCTGACCATAGCTATGATGTCCCATGGCATGTTTGGGGTGGGTCTGGGGATATGCCAGACTGTGCCAGGCTTCAGCACATGACAGCACTCCATGAGAGTCAGAGCGGGTGTGGGACAGGAGCTGGTCATATAGGGGAGCTTGGGAAACTCCCTGTGAATATGCAACTCCAGCTGGCAAGCATGACAATTGAAGCTGAAGGTAGTCCAGGCCAAGCTGGACTACCGTAGCCATTGGCATAGAGACAGGCCAGTCTGGGCTAGTCTGCAACACATGCTTGCAGGTGCAAGAATCAGGATTGGGAGCAGGCCAGGCTTGGTTGAGGTGTAACATCCGCCAATTAATATTAGAGCCAGGACAAGAGGTTAGCCAGACTGGGTTAGGCTGAAGCACCCTCCAGCATGAGTGAGACCTGAGACAGGCCATGTTACAACCCAGTCTGTAGGATCTGGTATGACAAGACAGGCCGTACCAGACTGAGCTACAGTACCCACCAGCACAGGCAAGACCCAGGCTGAGAGCAAACCTAGTGGGGAGGGCTTCTAGGGCTCAACTGCTGCGTCA